CCCCCTGGGCAAAGTCTGGCCTGACCAAGCCGGGACACACCAAGCTGCTTCTTGCGCCAAGCTGCACTAGCGCTACCACCATCTCTCGAGTGATTTGCCTCACAGGCACGAAAGACACGATCGACCCCAATGCCTTTGTGTGTACGCGTGTGTCTCGTTCTCTCTCTCTCTCTCTCTCTCTCTCTCTCTCTCTCTCTCTCTCTTTCTTGTATGTTACGTTTATCTCTTGCAGCCCCTTTCAGCCCCTTTCAGTCCCTTTCAGTTCAATCTCTTTCAGTCCGTCTGTTCTTTTCGTTGGTTCCGATATTGTTCTTTCGTTTATGTTGCGTTCCTGTTTTTCCTCTTCAGTTCGTTTCTTACCTGTGTGTTGTAAGGTTCTGGTCTGTTTGTATCTGTTTGTTGCTTTCCTGTATGCCATTGTTTGTATATGTCCGGTACTTTGTTCTTTCCTTCCTTTTTTCCTTTTTCCTTTTTCCTTTTTCCTTTTCCTTTCCATTCCATTCCTTTCCATTCCATTCCATTCCTTCCCTTCCCCTTCCCCCCTTCCCCCCTTCCCCCCTTCCTTCCTGCCTTCCTGCCTTCCTGCCTTCCTGCCTTCCTGCCTTCCTGCCTTCCTGCCTTCCTGCCTTCCTGCCTTCCTGCCTTCCTGCCTTCCTGCCTTCCTGCCTTCCTGCCTTCCTGCCTTCCTGCCTTCCTGCCTTCCTGCCTTCCTGCCCTGCCTTCCTGCCTTCCTGCCTTCCTGCCTTCCTGCCTTCCTGCCTTCCTGCTCTGCCTGCCTGCCTGCCTGCCTGCCTGCCTGCCTGCCTGCCTGCCTTCCTTCCTTCCTTCCTTCCTTCCTTCCTTCCTTCCTTCCTCCCCTTCCTTCCTTCCCTCCTTCCCTCCCTCCCTCCCTCCCTCCCTCCCTCCCTCCCCCTCCCTCCCTCTCCCTCCCTCCCTCCCTCCCTCCTTCCTCCCTGCCCTCCTGCCTGCCTTCCTTCCTTCCTTCCTTCCTTCCTTCCTTCCTTCCTTCCTTCCTCCCTTCCTTCCTTCCTTCCTTCCTTCCTTCCGGCCTCTTTTTGTCTTTCTTTCGTGCTGTCTTTCTGTCTTTCTGTCTGTCCCTCCTGCCTTCTTTGTTTCCTTTATTTTCTTTCTTCCATCTTTCTGAATGTCCTTTCTTTGTCCTTTTATCTTTCCTTATTTTACTCTTCCCTTGCGGAAATTCCTCCTTTCGCTCTGTCTTTTTTTCCCTTGCTTTAGCTTTTCTCTCTATTCAACTTGGGACGTTACTTTAATAGCTCGCTAGTTCCTGGTTTATTAGTTTACGCGTCTATGAGCTGTCTTACTTGTCGTTTTATTCGTTTATAATTTTTGCCTATGCAAGGAGACGGCAGAAGAGGAAGGACTTTCGCGCCAAACGTTGAAACCACATTCTGAAGATGCATTTCCATGTGATGTCACATTCCTCTGCGGGCGCCGTATCCCGTGTCGCCGCATTACCACTTCATGCCACATTCCTTTGCCTCTGCGCCCGAGCTCTCGGTCGGACCGGGTTGGCCCTGCTGGCAGCACAGCATTGCCAAACGCTTCCTAGCATATCCTGCTGACACGGCGCATCTTGCGCCAAAATTTCGACAGACTTGGGGATCATCAGAATCGCTACAGTCCCCTTTCAGATCTGGGGATTCGTCTGCGCTAATTCGTCTTTCGGAATTCGTCTTTAGAATTCGTCTTTAGAATTAGTCTTCGGCGGCTTCAGCAGCCTGTCGGCCCAAGACCTTATCCGGAGCAATTTGCTTCGGCGCCTGGCGCAAGTCCGACCCCCGCTCACCCCCCAAGCGGGCACAGCGAATTATTCAAGCGCTCATATGTTCTTTTGTTCTTACTTCCCCCTTAGGGGTTACGAAAAGTGGCCTCGTTGTGCAGCTGCGCTCTCGCTGTGGCACCGTGCGGGCTTCACGCGTGGCATCGCGTTTCTGATTGCAAAGTGTCTGCTTTGAAGCAGAGCCGCTACGCTTGGGGTGCGGCCTCCGATGGCACTTGTCGCAAAAACGTGTCTTGCGTGTGACAGTTTCGCATGAAGCGGACCTTTCTTAAAAATTGCTCTCTGGCTGTGGCGCCGTGCCGATGTTCAGACTTGTGTGTTGACAGCTCGGCTCCACGGCCATTCTGTGCGTTTGTCATGCAGTTAGGGCGCAGTACGGTTTGCGCTGATGCTATGGGCTTCGTGGCAAGCGCGGCATTCTGATAAACAAGGGCTGTAAATTTCGTGCCAGGCGCAGCATCTCATTCATTTGCAGGCGTTGCAACATGAAAGTGAACCCTTTGCGGAGATTGCGCGCAACGAAGCGTTCTTGCTGTGGCGCCGTACGACGTTTGCTTATTTCTTTGCATGCGGGGCGCTCTTCGCATGTCACGCCCAAGAAGACCAGGTCCGTACCGCCAGTAGCGCGTGCGCGTGGCTGCCCTCGAGCGCGGAGACAGTGATGCCAAAGTGGCGTTGCACCGTGCGGCTACCAGACGCAACCATAATGGCGCAAGGCGCGTACGAAGCTTTCGGGCCAGAAATGGCCACCAGTAAATTAAGACTTGCTGGATAGTCACTGCCAGACTTCACATACGTCGTATGCTCCGTTATGTTCGCTATGTCACTATGCTCCATCTCGTTCCGTGGTGCTTGTGCTACGTTTGTGCTTGTTTCCGGTTTGTTTGTTCTTCTTGCTTTTCTTCTTACTTGTTTGCTTTGCTTGTTCCCTTTTGTTGGTGTGCCTTCTCTCTCGCAGTCTCTCTCCCCCTCTTGCTCTTTTGCCGGTGCCTGTTCAATCCGCGCAGAATAATCGTAGTGCATCGGTTGTGCACAGGCTCTAAGCGAGGCATAGGCATGCCCTGTCGCTCGCCCCGGGGCGACTGAACCAACAAATGGCCAAGGGCAGATGTAAATGCAGCCAAGTGCGCCATTTGCAACCAATGACTGATCCTTTCCTTCCCTGTCGCAAACCATCTGCCAACGGGCTTTCGGTGGCTACTTGAACAATCCACTAGGCAAACCATGGGCTCAAGCCTGGCTCTTAGACTGAACCCACCGCATGGAGCTCAACGTGTCGGCTGTTTTGTTGAACCTTTAGCATTTGGGGAAGGATGCATTCCCCCACAAGTTTATCTTTGTGCGCAGGGGGGGAGGAATATCCAGCCAAACTCTCCTCACTGGCTCAAAGTTAGGGACCCTTAGGAATTGCAAAAATGTCCTTTCGACCTCCTTCAAAACCTTACATTGTCTTGGTAACCCACATCCTCCGCCTGGTCTCTGGCCAACTTGGGTCAAACCCTTTCAAAAAGTTCAAAGAGTATTGTTTGCGCAACTGGCCTTGGATTGGCGTTAAAGGGAAACCGACACGGCACCCCCCCCTCAGGTATGGGTGTTGGAAGCTCAACCTGCCCTTGGCCTTTGGGCTTTCCCCCCATTTTTCGCTCCTTCACTCCGCTTCAACCCTTCGCATTCCTCGCGTAGGCGCAGCAGCTGCAGTGGGAAGGACCCGGAGCCCAGCACCAGGCCACGGGCTGATGCCTTGGTGAGGGCCTCCAGCAGCGCCAGGCCCTCGGGACTCGGAGAACGTACACACGCCACTGCCACGTGCATGTGTTTGTTCTTTAGCTGTTAAGTTCGGATGTGTTTTTAGGGGGCACCTTTCCCTGGTGAAGAGTTCCCTGAAAACATCAGACACGCATATTCACCAACCAGGGAGGGCGGGGGTTGACATTCGTACGAAGAGACATTAGGCCAAAGTTCTGAGAACCTTTCGATCTTTGGTCTCACTGAAAGGTCAACACTCCTTCCAAGAAGTCGCAGCTTTGGAACCTTTCCCTTGAAGCGTGGGGAGGGGGGAAGGGCGGGGAAATGCTTACACAATTATGGTATGGCATTATGGCGCCCGTACATGTACTCGCAGCCGAACGCTTGTCAGATTCCTTCAAGCACTGAGTTGCATGTTCCTGCTGCTGCATTAAACGCTCGCGACTAAACAAACAAGTCAGCCACCCGGGATCAGCGATGAGTCAAATTTTGGGCCCCTTTTCGGCTGGTGCTCTTTGCAGGAAACCAAGACAACGCGGCGCAAGAAGTGAATCTGCAAATGTTGGCCTGGCATTGCACTGCCACTCCCCTGCCTAGCTTCAGCCATCACTGCCCTGCCTCATCAAGGATCAGGTAGGAGACAGCTATGGCCACCGAGCGGTTGCCCCCCACGAAGCAATGCACTAAGACCTCGGCAAGAGCACCTGCCAGCTTCTGAAGGGAAATGTACAAATGCCGAAAGTCCCCGAAATCCCCCAAGAGTGCTGAGACCTACTGCAACATCTTGACAAGCACTATTTCGGTTCTATGATCCGCATGCCTGGAAGAACGGACGCAGGATGTTGCAATGATGTTGAGAACCGCCCACAGGCTCACCGGGAACCTTTTTCAGGTGAATCTAATAGCGTGCCGGCAGATTTCATGCCGATGAGGCTAAGACACGGCGCTCAAGCACGAAAGCACAAAGCACGCTCGAACTGACTGAGTCTCCTTGTGCTGCCCTCGCTGCAGTTTGCGAGCTCAAGTGGTTGGATGCACATTGCACAGCTGGCAAAACAGGCAGTGGCTAACATCTGAAGAGCGCAGTGTCAAAACGTCTTCGGGTTCTTGCAGAAACTATCGCAGCCCCCTCCCGACGACCAAACACATATTCAAACGGTAGCACACCGTCGGTTTGCTCAAGCACGGAAAGGCCCAAACACCTGCCTGGGCCATTGCACAAAGTCACTTGACACCAATTAGTTTATTATTTTTTTAATGGCAGCCCGCGACTGGCCGCCAAAGACACACAAGGATTGGATGGAACAGGGTTCCCAATATTCCTCCACCTGCCAGGCAAGCAGAAACCATTTTGTGTTGGTTCCCCCATGTTGACATAAGCCCACGTCTAAAATGTGTGCAACCCAGGAGGAGTTGGCCGAGTTGGCCGAGCCGCCGCGAGGTCCTGGTCCAGCTTCTCCCGCAGCCAGGGCCGGGCTTTCTGGGCGGCGGCGGCCAAGTCTTCGCTGAAGTCGTCGTACATGACGACGTGCAGCACCTCGATGCCTCGCGTTGCGGCGAAGGACTTCCAAAACGCCCTGACTTTGACCTCCCAAGATAGACATGCAGGTTGTTCAAAGCTTGAAAGATTCACGGCCGCGGCGAAGATCAACTAAGCTTTGCGTAAAGGAGAGATTGATTTGCTCCGACCCAGGGTGGAAAAGCAGTCTCCGTGTTTCATGTGCTGTGTCCATTTCCTCAAACGCAAACGCGGCTCCTCTAAGGACATGGGGAGCGCCCCTTGATCCAGTGATCTCCCTCCCACATGGACTGACCAAACCTCTTTTCTGCAGCCAAAGATTCCCAGGCTCCGATATAGGTCCTGCCAGGCTAGCTGACAGCTTTCAAGGATTGGCCAGCCCTTTCAGCAGTGCATGATTCTTTAGAAGGCATGGCCCTCCTCAGCTGATTCTGGACCACAAGGAACGGAAACTACTGCAACTCACACCTGATTTAGGGGCCAACGCCCGAAAATGTAAGCCACTCAAACTCTACCTTACGACTTACCCGCCACGCCATCCAGCTCCTGACGCTGAGGGGAGGGCGCGTCTTCCGTGCAGTTGAGCACGGCGCCGATGTTCGCCGTTTTCAGCCAGCCCGCGTTGCCTTTGCCAGCCACAGGGGCTACAGACTTTCCCATTGACTCATGCAACTGCAGCGCTTTTGGTTTATACATTCATCAGACCGAAGCACGATACTGGAATGGCGCTACAAAACTGGGGATCACATTGGGTTGCGTAAAGTGAATAGGGGTGGCTCCTGAATAACGATCCGATTCTCTGCTCTCCCCATGTGGGCGGAATAAAACACTTTGCGGCTAATTTGCAACCATCCATGACTTTGCCTTTTTGGTGCCGTGCCAACCTCCCCCAAAGGTCCGAATGAACTTTGAGCGTTCTAGCAAGGTGATGTCAATCGACTGCAAGGCCCTTCCCCAGCCAATGCTAGCCCCAAAACCTGCCGCATACCGCGCCTGCGTCCTCCTCGTTTCCCACCAGCAAACGGCCCCTTGTGCGTGTGAAGATCTCCGCGGGGAGTCGCGTGAGCTCCCCGTAGTCGTCCAGCTCACCGGCCAGGCGCCTTGTCCGGGAGCGAGACAGTGTCTGGCAGGGTGTTTGGTGAGGAATGTGTTTCGAGGTTTGGAAGTCCAAAGCGCGGAAAGCAACTTCGGCAAAAGTGGTCCCCATCGTTGCTCATGTTGGCTGTTTGCCAATTTGGCAAGTAATGCCTGAATCATGCTGGTCCGAGGGGATTCTCATTTCGGTTCGTGCTGCTGCGGCTGCCGAGGAGGCTTCTTTCAGACATGCCGCGCAGCGCAACTTCATTCTAGTTTTGGGAACAGCGGTGAGTCGAAATCAAACCTTGTAATCAAAACTTGGCACTCAAGGAGCATACCCAAACCCATGCAAAGTATTGTGAGGGCAGCCGCAGCTATCTATGGTTGGGACTTTCCCTCTGCTCACCTTCATCTATCTAGACTTTGATTACTCAAAGGAAGCACGCTGATGAATGCATGAGGTGGACCAGAATTCAATGCTAGATCCTTCAAGGGTGACATGAACGTAGCGATGTCACGTTCGCAGTCGCATTCTGCTACAGGCTGACAAGAGAACCAACCAAGAAACTCATGAAGGTTGTTCAAGGCATCCACTCCTTCACCAAGAGGAACTAAGGCATCTAGGGGGGCCCTTCTGACCGCTGCATCCAAGGTTCTCCGCGCCTGAAACAATGGCTGCCTCCATGGCTGCAAGCTCCTGGTTTCCATTGGCGCAGAGCCACGCCCTTGACACTTCGAGGTCCCAGCTTATCAAGTTGAGACAACCGGTCTGAGGAAACCCTCTGATAGATGCTTCCTTTTGACCTGAGTTTCACTCGCATCTTCATCATTATAGAATACCACAGCTCATCAGCTTGTTCCACGCCTCCTTCTCGTCTTCCTTCGCCCAGCGCTCCGCCAGCAGAGACCAGACCCGGCGCTGCCGCTCCCGTGTCGCCTCTCCTGCCGAGGCCTCCGCAAGCGTGGGGCCGGGAAGCTTCCATCGCTCGGCAATCACAAAACCCATCCATAGATGTCTAGCTAACCCCCCCACCCCCCAGGCGAGACCCGGCTCACACAGCCTCTAGCCATCGTAACTGTCACCCGGACATGAAATGCACAGCCCCACTTTCGATCTATCCGCTTTACATGCGATGCCACGGCCTCTTTGCCAGGAGCCGAGGCGAAGACCACATCCGTGCCTTCCTCAGAAACGGCGACCGGGACTGCGGAGCAGTTTTAGTGTCGTGTTCGCGTGGTCGTTTGCGCATGGAGAAAAAATGAAACAACAGAAGAAAGAAAACATGAACTCACACGCAACAAGACCATCCTTCGCTCGCAAGCCTGTCATTCGCTCAAAAGCCGGCCCGACCTCCAAACCATTCCCGCCCTTCCGCTCCCCAACAAACAAAACATGTGTCCAGCCAGCCTCTGCCTCCCAGGCTGCCATGCGCTCCTCGAATGCGGCCAGCGCTCCTCCGCACAGCCGTCCGGCAGAGCGGAACCCCGCACTCAGCCCAAGGCACGCTGCGTTTGGGTGACTTCGAAAGAAACACTAGCAAGGGGTTGGAAGGGCGCTCAGGTGCTCTCAAACGACTCTGGTTTGGCTCAAGTTGTTCCACGCTGGTCTCCACCAGTCTGTAGCAGGGTAGGTGCCGGTAATGAAGGAGGCCCCTTGGACACCCAAACCACTGCAGGCACCAGAAAAAGGGAGCCCTTTTGGTTGGTTGGGGGTTTGGAACATGCTCGCCTGGTGCAGTGCGTGAATGCACAATCAGTAATGCCCATTTAGACCGAGTCGGCCAACGTCGCGACTATGACAAAGCAACGCTTTGCGATAACAAGTGGTTGGGGTTGGTCTAAGATATGCAGCAAGTGGGCCTAGTCAAGCACCGCAAGGGTCCGCGCCTTCGCTGTCACCGGAGTCAGACTCGCCATCGGACTCAGAAGATCTACCATCCAGGGCGCTCATGCCCAGCTGACCGGCTCAATCAGCAGGTGCTTCTCCTCCCTAATGGCAGGCAGCTGAGCCTCAGAAGTGTTGCTCTGGGAACTTGCTTCTTCAACGGATCCCTCCGTGCAAAGGCTTCAAGCCAAAATCAAGACCGGCATGAATATAACGTTCCTGGAGAAGATAGACACTTTTTGGTGCTACAAGGGAGAGCCGCGACAAGATAGTAGATAGAAACCCTTCCGCGACAAGATAGATTATTATTATTTTTGTTCGGAAAAGTCGGCCGGACTTGCAAAAGGACGTGTGCTCCGAATACGAAAGCTGTTTAATCTGCAATGCTAGCCCTATTGAAGGGTTACAACTTCTGTATGGCACATGACTCAGGCGGCATGGGGATGTTATGCCATAGCATGCACTGTCTGAATGCCATCATTCTCCCCGAGCATTATCGAAATACAGGCCAGCGGGCACCAGTCCAGGCCTTGCCTGTTGCGCTGCGGACACATCGATATGCCCGCGAAGCATGCATGCCACATTCCAGTCACTGGGCCGTGTTCGAAAGGCAAGGCCTGTCACTGTGGAAAGCCTCGTTGACCACTTTGCCAGGAGTTGGCGAAAACTTGCAGCTCCGGTCACGTCTGCTTTCGCCAACTCCCAGCAATTCCACCTACATGAGAGCATGTTCAGAAAGCTGACAATGCCTCCTTACCACGCCCTGCCATTGAAGCTACATATATCAATCTGAGACCTTTGGTTGGGTGATTTTTCAATGGCGGGACCTGGCTCTTGCAGCCTTGCACCGTCTGAATTCAAGCAGGTGCCAGCGACAGCCCGCAACAAGCAGCACCTGCACCTGTGCATAAGGGCCTTTGCCACATCCAAGGCCTTCCCTTCCAGCCATCGCGCTACCCATCGCTGCTGGAGTCGTCACTTGGCGCGCGATTGCGCCCTCGCATGATCCTTGCCTGGGGGTGCCGATCACAGGTAGCTGGACGCATGGCGGGCATCTTGCTTCACTTGGTTTAGATATGCAGCTTGAGCCCTGTTGGTGGTCTTTCCTCTGGGCATCGTAGCGTGAGTCGGTTGCTTGCCGATTGTCAAATTGGTCTGCACCGACCGTTTGTTTCTGGCTGCCCAGTTGCAAGGCGCTTGGTCTTCTCATCGATCCGGTCGGACCACTTGGCGGGGACCGACAGCCTGGCCGCTGTTGCGGTGCACGGGGCGAAAGCACGGCTTTGCCTTACCTGGTCAAACCCTTGATTCCTGAGCAGGCCTATCAACCCACAAGAGGCCTGTCAACGGCGTCGAGTGACGCAAAGCCTCAGGTACCTTCCCTCAGGAGCAGGTACTGGGAACCCCAAATAACTGGTCTTCATCACTTTTCGAAAGGTGCTGCGCCTTGTTCTTAATGGGATGGGTGTATTATGGGATCGGTGATGCCCCCAAACAGCGCCCCCCCATTACCAAGAAGAGCGCATGAGATGAGAAGGCCCAGTGTGCGATTAAGGGTGTTTGTGTGGGCACAAGCGAGGGCGCCCAATTAGAGAAACTCGAGCCTTGCTCGCGACAGTGTTGTGCTGGCAGTGCTGGCTGCACTGGCTGCACTGACAATGCTGGGCACCTCCCGGTGGGCCTGGGTGACCAAACACGTCGATGGAAGAAATCGTGCAGGCAACCCCTGGTCACATATTCCCGCCTTCGGACTCCACTGCCACGTCGCAGAAATGCTCTCCCAGTTCAAAGACCTACGGGCAACCGCAAGCCAGCAGCACCCAAGTCGCCAACAAGGCCGCGCTGCTTTCCATTGCCAGATTTGCCAAATGTGAAAAGAATGAAAGACGTCTGCCAAGTATTCCCTGAAGCATTGACAGGACAGTGAAAGTTAGGCCGCCTGAAAGCCTCCAACTCCAAACTTGGCAAATGCCCTAAGCATGGAATGTCACCGCACCCTTTCCCAGGCGCCTCCCCTCAAAACCCCTCAAAGACGGCGTCGTGGCAAGGCTCCGCTTGGATGGCAGAGGGGTCTCGGGCGCAAACGGGGGAGTTGCCGAGGGTGGCGTCGTCGAGCAGCGTGTTGTCGAGGGAGGCGTTGCCGAAGGTGGCATCGCGGAAAAGTACATCGCCGAGGGAGGTGTTGGAGAGGGAGGTGGCTCGGGCACAAGCGGAGTGGACGGCGGCGTTGCTGAAAGCGCCTGCCAGCAGAATTCCGCTGCCAGCCGCACTTTTGATGCAACTGATGGCCTGCACCCATTGGGCGGGCCTCGCGGAGCCAGGACCTTGACGGCGACCATGTTGTCTGACAGGACACCTGTGACAAAGCAAAGCGAGCCGGTGTGCTTCTTGCGCGCGCATCATCCCCCGCCAAAAAAAAGAGACCCATGGCAACATGAAAATTTGGGAGACTGGTCTCTGAAGTGAGAAGGCCTTGCATGCCTTCATCATGGCAAGCCTGGCGCGTGCTGCCTTCGTGCATTGCGATAAAAACCTCAAAGCTGGTCCTTGCCCCCTTGTGGGGCATCAAAAGATGCGGGTGGTCAATCGCCCCCCCCTTCCCCCCAGAAAAGAAGCTCAGCCTCCGCAGCCGGCGATTTTGGCGTCGACTTCCTGCACTTGCCGAGCAGGCAGTGTCTTTCCTAAACCAGCAAGCTTTTTCAGTGCCACGTCGGATCAAACAGTTTCACTAGGATCGTCGGTCAAAAGGTGGCTCGAACGCACTGAGGCAACCCTACCTGTTGGTGGCACTACCTCGGAACAAACCAACTAGGCACAGGCAAGGATGCAAAGATAAGCCTCTTGCTGACACTCAGGACAAACGAATGGTCGCTGAGCTCCGCAGAGGGAGAGAGTGAGAGAGAGATATAGATATATGTACCAGTCCCTGGGCCACGTACCCCCCCCCCCCAATGGTATGGTCCCCCCATTCCCCCGCATCATCCGCATCTTGGGGATGATGCTGGCAATGCTGGGGATGCTGTCCAGTACCGTGCGAGCCCTGCAGCTTCGGTCCCAGACCCCCTTTCACCCCGTGAACCAACACCCCCGCACCTCTCGCAACATCCTACCCTAAACCAAACCACCCTGCAACCCCTCCTTAACCCCAACCCTAAGCCTAAATCAACCCAAAACCCAAACCCACCCGAAACCCACCGCAAACCAACCAACCCTAAACCAACCCACCAAGCCTAAACCAACTCCGAACCACACCCAACCACCCAACCACCCAACCACCCAACCACCCAACCACCCAACCACCCAACCACCCCACCACCCAACCACCCAACCACCCCACCACCCCACCACCCCACCACCCCACCACCCCACCACCCACCCCACCCCCCACAGGGGGGGGGGGGTTGGCCCAACCACAACCACCACCCCACAACCCCACCACCACCCCACCCACCCCCACAGGGGGGGGGGGGGGGGGGGGGGGGTCCACGGCCTGGAACATATATACAAATACATATATATATATATATATATCCACATATAAATGCATATACATACATACATTGGATGAGCCTTGGGCATTGGGGAAAAATGAAACAAACCCGACCGACGCAACCGACTGCGCGAGGCACTCCAGCCTGAAGCAAATCAACGGCAGCTCCTCCGGCTCGGGGCCCTTGGGCTCCTAAAGAAGGGAAGCAGCTCAACAAAACTCAAGGAACTGTCCGAAAACCCGGTGAACAACTGCCCTTGCTCTTTGCCGCTTGGCTCGGACACTGGAGCAAGCTTGTCGAAATGCGGTACAACCGCAACTCGCTCTTTCGAGCAAGCTGTCCTCGTCTTGGGCGTTGCCGGAGCAGTCATGCTGGCCGTAAATGCCCGCCTGCCATCGCCCAAGCCATCGAAAGCTGTTGAACAATCATGTCCGCCCGTGAGCAAGTGCGGAGGGGCACAAAGCATCCCCGCAACCACGGGCTCACAGCAGGACATATCCAGAAGCCAGCCAGTGACTGTTTTGTTCGAGGGTACCCTTTTTTAAGCTTGCTGCAGGGAAAGGCAAAGCTAAACCACCCATTTGTACGGCTGAAGTTTGAGACCAACCCAGTCTCAAAGCAATGCCCAGGCTCCCCGCCTTGCACGGGCCAGCTGCTGTGCCACCCTGACATCGGCTGGCGGCAGACGGTCCGAAAACGCGGTGGTAGCAATGCAAAGGCTGAAGCATTGATCAAGACATCGTCTCACGCCCTTTCACGATGCCGCCGGAAAACAGGGCAATCAAAAGTCAGCTAGACACCCGCATGAAGTGCGTTGACTCATGCCATGGTGGAAGCATCCTTCTTACTTGTGCCCAACAGCTTCGTGACCTTCTCTTCGAACTCATCCACAACCTGGTCCGCCTTCCACTCCTCCAGGATGAGGACGATGGTTCTCATCACCTGCAGGTACAGCCTCAAGGTGCTCTTGCCATGGATGTTCTCACCGATTCGGGGGTCGAAGCGGTCCTTGATGCTGGGCCACTCCTTCTTGGAACACATCTTGTAGATCTGCGGCACCGCGGCCACCAAGCCAAACATCTGCTGAAGCCCAGTGAGGATGAACTGCATGCGAAGCACCTCCTTGTCAAGGGAAGGCCCCCCAAACTCCTGCAGCGTTTCAACGGCGCAGCTGAGGTACTTGTCCATGTTGCCCGACATTCCTTCGAAGTCGTGACAGTAGAGCCACCACCACATCTTGAAGCCCAAAGCTTTGGAGCCCATGCTGCCCCAATCAAAAACGCCCAGCTCTAGTGCACCCTCCTCGTTCCGCCAAAAGTAGCCATTGTCCACGTTCAAGTTGTTGTGAGTGAAGACGATGTACTCCGGATCCGAATGGCACCAGTAGTTCATCTCCGCCATGTACGCATTCAGCTTCGTCATGGTCTGCCGGAACTTGTCCTGCCATGCCTGGGTGCTGCAAAAGTTGGGGAAGAGCACCTTCCCGGTGTCCGCCATGAAGCTCAAGGCGCTATCCAGCTTCACCTGAAACTCTTACTGCCAGCTTGGTTCAACCAACACCGCGCGAAAACCACACTTCTAAAAATCCAACACTTGGAGACGGCCGTTGTAATCGTCACTAACAATCACGAATGAGTTTTGGTCGCAATGGTCTTGAATCAGTGTATGATTTTGGGGGGATTCCTGCATCAAAGCTCCCAACCCCCCCCAGCCTTCAGCTGGTTGGGGGGCTGCCCTGTGCAGGCCGGCTTCATGCCGAAGGCCTCCTTGGGCACTGCCCCAAAGTTCTCAAAGTACTTCCCAAGGAGCTCCAGGGGCCCGAACTGCCCCGCCTGCGATGTCTGCACTTGCTGCCAACACACACACACACACACACACACACCACCCTCCGCCCCCGCGGAGAAAACAAAAAAGTAGTGAAAACCGGATAAGCACAGGGAACAAAGAAACAGAAGTGCTCTGTGGTTTTTTTGGGGCACTGCGCCCCTTTTGGGAGGAAAGCTATACCCCACCTTCGCCAGGCCAGCGATCCGGGCACCGCACCGCACCAGGGTGAGGTAATACTCGGAGGCTTCGCCCCGAAGGCACCAGTCCATGCCTGCGCGATGCCCACAATTGCCTCCCCCCCCCCCCATTTCTGGGCGGCTGTGTTCCCGTCTTCAACAAAGCAAGTTGAATTACAGCTTAACCGAGAAGACAGGATGCACTTGTCATAGGGACCCTCGATCTCAAAGGCTTTGAGCTGCTCCTTGGGAGCGCTTCGCGTCTTCCCCTCGAAATCCAGGCGCTGGGGATCCCGGAAGTTCACGCTCTCCGTGATCAGAATCCTGGGTGCTGAACTGGGGGTCCTGCTACGTTTTGGAAATCAGGATCCATCCTTTTTGGTCTTTTGAGGGAGAACAATGCATGTGCCATCCCACATTGGTCTTCCTTTGTGGCCTTTATTCATATGCCAATGTTGGCACGGAGCCAGTTGGAGGTCTCGTTGCTGATGTCTCCAAAGTAGTATCTGGGGATCTTCACTGGCAGTGTTGCCTCCAACAGCCGGGAGGAATTGAGCTCGTAGAACTCCATGGGCTGCTTGTTCACCGATGAGCTGAGGCGGTCCGACTGGGTTTGCCCCTCCATGGAGTGCGGGATCTTGGCGAACAAACGGGTGTGAAGGTCCTGGGAGGAATGCAAGTACTCCACCTCGAACAGAAACTTGCCGCCATTATTGCCCGTGGTAATCTTGAAGGGGTCTGCTGACACCTTGATCACCTTGTTGTCAGAGGGCAAGGTGCCTGCCACATGCATGGCCTGAGTCAGCCAATCTGCGCCAAACTTCGCGCTCAGCAACATCTCCTCGGTCCATGGAAAGTTAAGGCCATAGAACATTCCCGGGGCCATCTTTGTGTGGTTGGTCATTACCTGCTCCACCGTGATGGACTTCCATTCCGGGACCTGCCGCTTCATCTCGCCCTTGCAGCGCCTTCGCAGCCGGAACTCCGCCTCCGGCATCCCCTCGGGTTTCTCCTCCTCCTCCATGGGAGCGGCGGCTCTACGCGCCAGCTCCTTGCCGGAGATCTGAATGCTTACCCACCTCAAAGTGGCACAGCAACCAAAAGCGGATCACCAGTTGTGGAAACATAACTTCTCAACAGTGGAAACTCAAAATGGGCGGCCTTGCAAATGGGAAGCCCACACGGAAAAGGCAAAAAAGGAAGGTCAAATCAAAAAGTCCAGTTCGCTTGCAAAGCGAGCCACCCATCCTGCGGCCCTGTGCCGGTGACGATCTCGTAGTGCAGCCGGCCATTGGCCTCGAGGAATTCCAGCTCCCTCACGAGAGCTCCGTGGGATAGGCGCTCCGCCTTCTCGGCGGACTTGAGCTCCCGTCCGGAGCGCACCAGGATGCCGCCCTTGTCGGCCCCACCCACGATCTCCCAAAACAGGCCTTGGGTCATTGCCCCACAGTGAGCTCGAGCTGGGCTGGAAAATGGCTGCGAGACCCAAGGTTGTTGACAAAATACGGCTGGAGATTGCTCAGAGCGGCACCTCGGTTCATTCATGAAACTTGAAAAGAAACGACCTGCCTCAATCCTCTCCTTCAGCCCGGGTGGCAAGGGTCCACGACCAGAGCCCTGCCTGCGTGAGGTTGCAAGCAGCTTCTAGCCTCTGAATCACTGAAGTTCAACACCAAAGCCAACGGCTGCTGACTTCAAGCATCTGCGAAGCTCGGACTCAATGGGATACAGTTCCTTGGCAGGGGACTCTCAGAAAGGTGCGCTAAATGGATGGACTCGCGAAAGAGCTGTCTTGCAACTTCTGAGCCATTAAGTGTCCACCACCTGCTTTCAAGCGACATCTGATTCTCCGGAAGTCAGTGGCCCGAGAAGTTTGGCAAAGACGTGAGAGGCGACTTGCTGTGTCGAACCCCAGTTGGCTGGGAGCAGCAGAAACAAATCCCGAACTACAGGCCCGAGTGCTGAGCTCGTGCACGCACCCGATGGGCTGGCAAACCAACCCCATTCTGGCTATAGCGGTTTCTATGCGGGGGGAGGTGATTGCAGACGTCGTACATGACTCCGCATTTCGTCACATCCACAAACTGTGTCCAAGCGCCAGCTTGATAGGGCAGCAAAGAAGAAATATGATAAGCATCACCGTGTCAGAGACCCACGCGCAACCCCCGCCTCAGAGCCACAGGATCCGGGATGGAAAAGCGCCTGCCCAAAAAGCGAGGCCGGAGAGATCCCCCAACTTTTGGACATTTCGGGAATCCCCGAAGGGAGATCCAAAGAAACCGGTGGCTTTGCCGGCATTGCCGCATTGCCGCTGTTGGCTTGGTTGAAACCGGCCTCAGCCTGCATTTGCACGACCATCCGAACGAACAAAAGGTTCGACTGACCACATCCGAACTTCGAATTCGGTGTGATATTCCTTTCTCCCAAGGCCTTGCCCAAGTTGCCGCGCCTCGGACGGCCTTCCTCAGCCTTGGCCGGTGGCGCCCCAGCGCCGACCTGGCGGTTTTTTGTTAAGCCAGGTTGGCTAAACAGGCATGGCCAAGGACCTGCACATGCAACGAGAGTGAACTTCTGGAGGGACGGGTGGCTTCTCTTCAAACGGTGTAAAGATTCCGCTAAAGTGAACATGTAGATGGGTCCCGGTGGTTTATGTTGCAAGGGGGCAGGGTTGGGGTTCGTTTGGCCGTTGCAATCCGCAATTTGCCAGGTTCCATGCACAGACAACTAGGGCAAAACTGCCGTACATCAAGTTTTGAAAAGAAGGATGTCACACGACATAGCCACTTGCACCATTCAGCACAGCAACACAAATCTCAAAAGGACTTCTGGCCATGCCAACCTCTGCCCACCTGCGGCCTAGCCGTTGGCAACAGTGAAGGGATCGACATGTCCTGTCTCGGTTCATCCAGAATCGCATGACACGCTGCCAATTTCTTCCGGCCTCCCGCTGCTCAGCCACATCCCGGACATCAACTTCGGGTACTCCCAGGGATTCCTGCTCAGTCAAACAGGCCACTCGGTGCTGTGCAACACCTTGAGCTGAACTTCTGTGTGCGACTATTTTTCACAGCGCCTCTTGTAAGTAATTGTCCCACTGAATCGGAGGAAAATGAACGCCGCGCGTGTCCCCGACATGTTTTGCAACGGTGCTTCAGAAATTCTGACTGCTCGCTTGCTCAGCACTGTCTGCGCACCTCCGCCGCAGGCTCCGGCTCATCCGGAAGGCGCGGTGAGTCCTGCCGGACTTGTGGAATGACCCGCGCCTGACCAACTGCACCGAAGCCATAGATACATGTGTGCCTGCAGACAGCCATTTTGATAGAGATAGACAGGTAGATAGACAGGCAGAAGGAGAGACAGACACATAGAGACAAATAGACACAGAGACAAACAAATAGGTAGACAGATGGAAAGAAAGATTGATAGATAGGTAGATAGATAAGTAGATAGGTAGGCAGGTAGGCAGGTAGGTAGGTAGCTAGCTACGTCTATAATATGCAAAAGTGTCTGTGACTCAAACCCCGGCTAAAGGGCCTTCACCATGGATGGGCTAGTTAACCCCCAGATGAGCACGTTTGGTTTTCAGGCAACATATTATTAAGTTACTTAAGCTGTTGGCTTCGTTAACTCCTTCCTTACCATAGCTAAATAAAAGGCGGCCCTGGCCCAGCCATGGGGCCCACAACTGCCCAAACCTTGCCCAGTGTCCTCACGGCTTGGAATGCGGCACTTCTCCATTGCCTACGGGTACCACCCCGAGAACTCGGGCAAATTCTGCCTGATGGCATTCCGAACAAAACACTAAGTCACTAAGCTATCATTGTCAAGCATCCTGGTCACTAGGATCCGATCTATGCCGCGATATGCGCCACGTCAGGCAAGCCGATGCTGGCCACTGAAGGGCTGCCTGACCAAATGCCGCCCCGCCTCAGGTTGGCGGACCTGGCGGGCAAGGGAGGCGAACCCCAGCCAACCCATCGACGCAGGTGGTGAGACTTGAGGGGCAGCACCCTCGAATCGGTGGACTGCGGCCTAGCGCAAAACAATCCCAAGAAGCAAAAGCAACAAGCAACAAACAAAAAGCATGCATCAAGAGCTTCCCTTTTTGTTGCCAGAGGAACCTCCCCCCCCCCCCGGTTTCCGCCTCGGGGGCCTCGCCGAAGCAGAGCAGCGAGCGCTGCAGCTCGTCTAGCTCGGCAATCCTTGCTGCATCGATGAGATCGCTCAGTCGCAGCTCCCATCCGACCCGAAATACCTAGGGGTTTGTTCTTCAAGACTAATGGGTTGAAGACGGCTTGAGTCGGGGCAGTCGATGTACTTGAGAAACGCCGTTTCTCCGACAGAGGTATGTGAAAGTTTATTCCAGGCTTTCAATGCGAGCAGGGTGATGGGGGTCCAAGGTGCACATCAACTTCCACCAGTCTGTGATTTAAATCTAAGTTGCAAATCTGAGCTTGTAACCTCCAAAGTAGGTTGTGTCCGGTTGGTACCCTGTTGAAGCAGGAGCAGCACAACGCACATTCAGAATTCACAATGCCTATAGAGTTGATGCGTGCAGGGGCTTTTGAGACTGCTTGATGAGTTTCAAAGCTCCCCGCCTTGGGGGGGGAGGGGGGAACAGTTAGACCAGACCTTGCCCATCTATTTTTTATAAAAAATCCCAGACCCCCCCCCCTACACTTTTAGCAACATTTTGAAACAGCACCTCAAACAGCACATTTGCAAAAATCAACATTTCAAAGCAGGTAATTTCCTAGTCAGTTTATCCAATATTTTATATTCAAAATGTTCAAAAACATATATGGGCAAGGTTAAGTTCTTCATTTAAAAAATATAATTTTACAAAATTAAAAAACAAAATATAAATTAAAAAAATAATATATATATATATATATAATTTTACATTTAAAAAAAAACATATTTTTTACAAAATTTAAAAAAATCAAAAAATATAAGTTAAAAAAAAGACAATATAAGTTTACAAAATTTTCAAAAAATATTATTCCAAAAATTATGATAAATTATTTTACAATAAATTGTATCACAAAGTTTGTAGAAATATTATGGGCAAGGTCTGGTTCATTCGTTTTTATAATTATTCAAATCTTCTTCTAAACATTCTATATTTATACAATACGTTAAAATCAACTGCATCTATTTTTCTTTGCTACAAACCCATTTGTTGCCATTCTTTTTTATTTCGATTAACCATTCAAATTCTCTAAAGCTTAAAAACCACCAAATGGATGTATTTTGACTGTATGAATAGTTTCCAGCATTTCTAAGTATTCGTTGGTTGTTGGTTTGTTCCATATATTTTATCATTGCATGTTTTAATGGGATGTAATTTTTCGTTTCAATATTGTTTATCATTTTATGATGTTCTGCAATTTCCTTTTTTAACCGCTTTTCAGTTACAAATCCGTAACTGTCATCTTCTTCTTCTGTTTTATTATCATTATCACTCAAAAAATCATCAATTAGTTTAGTTTCCTGTTGTTCAATATAAGTTAAGAATTCATTGATAATTTCTTCCTGTTCAACCTCTGTAAATACAACCATTTGTATGATAATATATATAATTATTATTTCTTTAAATACTTTTTACAAGGAATTTAATTTTAAATTAAAATTAAATTAATAAATTAAAATTGAATGAATAAATTGAAATTATAATTAAATTATCATAATTAAATTAAAATGATATTTAAATTATGACTTATATTAGGATTGTTAAAATTGGATTATCATCATTAAAACCTAAATCCCGTGCAATTGTACAAACAGAACCACTACCTGAAAATAATTCTAATAAATTCATATTATTAGAATTATTCATATTTTAATTTTCAACAATTACATATTTACCATCATCGCCCTTTATTAGTTTATAATATTCTAATGTTTGTTCTTTTGGACTTTTGATTTGTCCCTTATTTAACATATCACAATATGTTTTACGCTTCGTGTCACAATCACCGCTGGGTCTGCCTATCCCTTTCTTTTCAATCATTTTGTCAATCTTTTCCTTCTCTTCATTGCTATTTTTTGGTTCGTTTGCCTTTGCATCAAGTTTCTGGTCAATAGTTTTATCATCTCGTACAACAGTTTAACATTTTTACTAACTGTCATTATTTTCTTTGATAGTTCAGCAATAGCATCATTCTCAACTTCAGACATTTCTACATATATTTATTTATGTAATTATTTATTTAAATATTTATATATTTAAAAAATTGATTTAATGTAAAATCTACTCTTTAAATACTAAATGTTCATCATTTGTTTAATAGTTTCCTGTGCTTCGTTATCACCATTATCGGATGGGGATGCATGCCTTCCCCATTTTAAAGTTATATTATGAACATCCGTTTCCGGGTTTATACTGTCTTTAGTTTTATCAATATTTATCTTCTTATCGTTTTTGCTCAATTTGAAATTTGTCGGGATACACGAACATTTACAGGTTCCTTTTTTT